CTAGTCTCATAATCACAAACTAACCAAAATGAACCCAAGACATACATTTAATTTTAAACAGGATATCAATGTAAGTACATTAATAAATTATTTTTTACATCATTGTCAACAAATAAATTATAATCTGCAAAAACAATTTAATAAGTTACATTAACAGGCGGACCTTTGGCAAAACCACTTCTAAGCCTTATAAAGCTTTTGCCAATTGAGCTAGCACTTAAAAATAATGTAGTACTAAATTATTAATATTATTTTTTACATCATTGTCAACAAATAAATTATAATCTGCAAAAACAATTTAATAAGTTACATTAACAGGATATTATTTCTATCATATCCTATTCCCTAATTTACCTTCTTCCAAAATATCTATAAATTTAAAAGGACTCTTCATGGATCTTTCTAGACACTGAATAATTTTGGAATACCAACAATGCCTTAAGCTTTGTCTTAGAATTCACGTGCTTGTTAAGCATTCTAGTCGTTGCTTCTTTTTTGTGTCCATTTGAGATAGTGGTGAGGTTACATTCATAAGTGTTTGTTCTTTTTGATTTATTGTTATATACAATAGTTGTACTGGTAAGTTCAGTAAGCAATGTACGATGAATGTTAGCTATTTTAATCATAGGTATAACATCTTCTAAAATTATTTATATAAAGCTAATTACTAATAATATTTGCTTACTTGTAACCCTTGCAGAGGCTCAGTAACAAAGTCAATCACGATTGCCTGGCAAAGTTATTTGAAGACGACCCAGTAATTCTTTTCTTTGTTGTTCTACATGTTTAAAAGAAACTTTTTGGAAGTTGATTGTTTTGGAAATTGTTTTCTCATGATTAATCTATATTTCAGGCAGGTGAACGTAGTTTACTGAAGTTGAATTGCAATGCAGAATCAAAAGTAATGCTCTGTCAATTATTTCTATTGCAATAATTAGATATTCCAAGCGGCTGAAGCACCAATAGAATGGGAAGAGCACTACGTAGGGACTGAAGCACCAATAGAATGGGAAGAGCACTACGTAAGCACTACGTAGTTTACTGAAGTTGAATTGCAATGCAGAATCAAAAGTAATGCTCTGTCAATTATTTCTATTGCAATAATTAGATATTCCAAGCGGCTGAAGCACCAATAGAATGGGAAGAGCACTACGTAGGGACTGAAGCACCAATATAATGGGAAGAGCACTACGTAGTTTACTGAAGTTGAATTGCAATGCAGAATCAAAAGTAATGCTCTGTCAATTATTTCTATTGCAATAATTAGATATTCCAAGCGGCTGAAGCACCAATAGAATGGGAAGAGCACTACGTAGGGACTGAAGCACCAATAGAATGGGAAGAGCACTACGTAGTTTACTGAAGTTGAATTGCAATGCAGAATCAAAAGTAATGCTCTGTCAATTATTTCTATTGCAATAATTAGATATTCCAAGCGGCTGAAGCACCAATAGAATGGGAAGAGCACTACATAGGGACTGAAGCACCAATAGAATGGGAAGAGCACTACGTAAGCACTACGTAGTTTACTGAAGTTGAATTGCAATGCAGAATCAAAAGTAATGCTCTGTCAATTATTTCTATATGCCAATGTTCGACCTTGCTACAACCTTTCTGGATACAAAACTCGATATGATGATGTTGACCTCATCACAATCCGTGAAAATACAGAAGGCGAGTATAGTGGACTTGAACATCAGGTAAATTTCATTTCACAGCAATACATGTCATATACCATTATCCAAATCATGATTAATATAATTTGCTTAGCATTTTTGGATTATAGGTTGTGAGGGGTGTAGTAGAAAGTATCAAAATTATTACACGCCAAGCAAGTACAAGGGTGGTTGAGTATGCTTTTCACTACGCCAAGGCACATGGAAGAAAGTGGGTATCGAGCAACAAAGTTTCTAACCATCACACTGTCCAAAAGTTGGTGTAGGCTTATATTGCAGCTAGAAACAATTCCTTTCATCGGGCCTTGTCTCTGCCAATACATGCTCTGAAGCTGATTTCTTAAATAAATTGCTTTGAAGAGCCATCATCCTATTGCCATGAGGGATGTTTGTAACAGAATCTATCAGTAATTGCAGAATACGAATTGCCGGGAGGAAACCATGAAGAATAATTCCCAAATTCTGTGTTATTTGTTCTGGTGCCATGAACAGAACTAGAAAATGGGATAGTACTTTTCATCTGCAGAGTACGAGTGGGGACTTCAGTGCTAACTTCATCAAGGCCTGGCCCATTATTTAAATCGAAGTCTCTTGAGACACTTCCACCATTAGATAACCACTGGACAATGAAGGTTGTTTACTTGGTAAAGGAATATCCATTTTAACCATAGAGAAAGATCCAATTTCAGGAGTCTCGTCCAACCTGTTTAGATCAAGATCAAATCCCACATAGCTGCGGTCATGAGCACCGGACTCTAAGGAACCCCGATAAGCAACGTCCTCAAAACTGATTTCATCTGCCACATTTAAATCAAAATCTAAGGGAGCGCGGTCTGGTTTGACTGAAGTGGCGTCAACCGATGGAATATCAACAATATTTGATGGCATCTCAGTATTTTTCCTAGGTTCAGCTGGCCGGAATGCACTTGTAGCAGCTGACCCTTTCCATCCAAGTTCCCCCTTACTTCGCAATGGATTTTCTGGCGTAACAACCGGTCCTTTGGCAGCAGAAGCCACTATAATTGAAGCATGGAAGGCCCCAGAGAGGGACGAAATCGGAAAAGGCAAAGGGCAAGGAGCATGAACTGCAGATGAACTGATAGGTTCTTCTGGTCTAACAATATCACACTAGCCTACACCCTCAACAGGGTACCCCTCATTTAAATCAAAGTCCAGTTTTACATTCACATTAGATCCACAAGCAAATGGGGATGGATTAGCATTGCCCATATCCAACTTCGCAGCAACTACAGATTTCTTTAACTTCGCAGCAACTACAGACTTCTTTCTTTCAAGATTAGAATCACATGTTTTCAGATCTTCGTTCTCTTTTACAGGAATTGGTAAATCTGGGTGAGCTAATGAACCAGAGCCAATAACCTCTTTTCTACCAAAATTCTCTGCAGAAAGTTCATTATCATCATCTGCAACTGCTGAATCCAGATCCATTTGTTTTTCATCAGGCTCAATATCACACCACATGAATTGGCAGTATTTTGTTTTGTGGAGCTTACTACTTAATGCTCCAGGGTGAAAAATATACAGGGAGTTTGGGATAACCAAGGAAGGCGTTATTTCAACACTGTGATGTAGTTGAATTCAGTGATTCTCACTTTAGCATTTTTCTATCTCAACACTAATTTGGCCTAATATGAACAATTATATCTTTCTCAAAAAAATTATATAGAAGATCTAGTCTAAAATAACAATATTTCGATTTAAATTGCAAGTATATTATGAAGCCTGTTTTGAAATATAAGCAATGTATCAAAAATATAGTTTAAACTCCTAAACAAGGAAAGGACTCAATCAAACAACAAGCACAATAGAGAAAGCAACCGCCGCAGCTAGACATGATTACCGAAAACAAAATCGATCCTGACATCAACTCAGGACAAAACCATTGAATTAACAGCACACAAGATTTCAAATAAAGGTCCTATACTAGAATTTGCTACCGCAACCCTTCAGCATCGAGAAACTCGATCCGACACGTCCTTCTTACACAAATTTAACTCTCAAACAGAGAAATTTAACACATGATGCTTAAAATACAAACCAATTAAATACAAAATTCAGAGTAAAATCCAAACCAGGATATGATTCAGGGTTTGAGAAGACAAACCTGTAAAGATTCGAATTGACGGTGGTGGCTTTGACGGTAATTCGCAATGACAGCGTCACGGTTGAGAAAAAGGTCAGTTTTCCTCTTTCTCCAAGAACGCGAGCGGCAAATTCTTAAAAAGAATGAAAAATACGTGAAAAGAATTTGCGGGAAGATGAAATTTTGAGGACGACGGTTGGATTTCACCGTCGCTGATGAAATTTTCACAATTCTGAACTAACGACGGTACGTCTTCCCAGTCATAATACAATTTTATTTTAATAAATTTTTTTTCTCTATTTTGATTGAATTATTTTGTTTATGTGATAATTTATAATATTATGATTATGAGTATATATAGTTTAATTTTATATTTAATATTTATTATAAAAATTGTTTTTAAAATTTTGATATATAGTTTAATTTTAATACTTTAATTTTGGATATAATATCTTGAATTTAATTTTTATTATAAAAATTGTTTTTAAAATTAAAGTTTTATTTTGAGTATATATAATATTTTCATTTTTATGTATTTTAAGTTTAATTTATTACTATAATTATATTTTATAAATGATTTTAGTCATTTATTTATTTAAAATACATAGATTTATTTAGATCCGCCATTGGTTATAGATTGTATTACTGGGTTTAAGGGGCAACAGTTGTTCTACCGTCGGCACATAAAATTTAGGGCGGAAATTTAGACAGTCATGAACTTATTTGTAGGACGGCTTAATGATAACCGTCGTAATATTTAATAATTTTTTAAAAATATAAGGACGGTAGGTGTATACTGTCGTGAAACGCGTCTCTATATTAGAGTTACGACAGTTATCAAGTAACTGTCGCAATTTTTGTGTCGTAAAACTCTAATTTTCTTGTAGTGATCGTCCATCAGATTCTCCTAAGAATCAATTCACTCATGCCCCTCACGGGTATACTATAACTCATCAGATTCTCCTAGGAATCACATTGCTCATCAGGTTCTCCGAGGAATCACATCGCTCATCAGATTCTCCGAGGAATCACATCGTTCATCAGATTCTCTGAGGAATCACATCGTTCATCATATTCTCCGAGGAATCACATCGTACATCAGATTCTCCGAGGAATCACATTATTCGTCAGATTCTCCAAGAAATCACATCACTCATCGGACCCTCCTAGGAATCCTATCACTCATCATACTCTCCTAATGTCTCTACTGCGAAAATCGACACCGGCTATGACAGAAGAGTCGCCACCGTGCGTTATTTATCCTAAAGGAGGTAAAGGAAACACTCAGAGTAAACCTAACGCAAAATGGGAAAGGGATGGTCCTCGTAACCAAATTCCTGGATTTGGGAGTCGATTACGCAAGGGGTAGGTATTAGCACCCCTCACGTCCGCCGTACTCGACGGGATCCACGCTTGTTTTCTAGTACGGATTGTTATTCTCTCTACTCTAAAGGGTTAAGGGTTAAAAGAAAATAAAATGACTCGGCAAAGTATCGCACTTTATGCCTACGTATTCCCGTCTGGAACGAGAAATCAGAGTCAACGTAGTTCTCCTACCTATGGAAAGGAGGGGAAGGTTGCTCGCTAGGATACGACATCCTATGCCTACGTACTTTCATACAGCCTGAAAGATCAGAGCAAATGTAGTTCGGGCTACGGAAGACACAAGCTTGTCTGACTGTTTCTTATTACCTTATGAAAGGGTTTTTCTAGATTAAGAGTTCAAGCGGACAAAAATGACACTTTGATGTTTGTTTTGAATCTTTTACGAAAGAAGTGTTTTTTAGTTTGTGATGTTTGAAATGTTAGTGTGTTTTTGATTATTTCAAGATGAGAAGAGAGAGAAGCTCTAAAAAACCTAGGGTTGAAAGGGGAATAAAAACTAACCCAATGTTGTCATGCATGGATAAGAACCCTAATGTTTGTCATAATTCCCTCCTGCACAGAGGAAATCAGAGATCCTAGGGGATAAACGGAAAAGAAACAGATATATACAGTAAACAGTAAACATGCATGAGATGCAGCAGTACAAGCGAGCCAAGGGAGTCCCACTCAACCTCGAACCTGGGAAAACAACAGGCAAAGTGAACAATATTCACTTCAAACCTTTGGGGGCAAGCTGCACAAGCCAACAATCAATACAGAAAAAGAAATAAAACCCAACACCAGCTCTGACAGCAACACCAGCTCCTACAGTAAGCAGCTCAAACAGCAACAGCTCTGACAGCTACAGTTGATTAACAGCAAGTGGGAAAGACATCAACAACTTCAAGCAAGACCCCATCTTCACTCTTCAATGATCCCCCAAGCTTTAGATAAGCTCCTGTCTCCAAAAATCTCCAAACTCTAGCAAGCACTGAACCCCAACAAGTAAACAGCTTCAAAAAGCAGCAGAACCCTAGCTCCAACAGATGACCAGCTTTGACAGGCACCAGCTTCAACTTCACCAATCTTCAATGCATTTCATCTTCAAAAGGCTTCAAATCCTCAATGCCACCACTCCAGAAGAGAATCAATTATCAGATTAAGTTGAAATGCTAAACAGCTTATTGACAACCAAAGGAAGCCTATAAGCACTTGGCATTGTAGGGGAAAGGTTCCCTCAAAGTTCTACCTCTAAAGTATGTCACTGATCCCTCCAAAGGAGGGATGTGAATACCCTAAAAGGACTTTTTTTCATAGGGAGGAATAGAAGCACAAGATGCTTTTTATGTTTGCAAGAAGAAATCAATCTAATCTTAGAGCTCTTCCTACATTTCCTATCTCCTAAGCCACCTTCAAGGAGAAGAATCTTCATGCTCCAAGCTCCATCCTTTGTCTCCAATCATCTTCAATGTCTTCATAAGCTCCAACAAGAAAAGCCCAAGCCCCAAGCCCAATTGAAATAGCCCAAACCAAACAAACAAGCAAAATTCCCAAGAGGGAAAACACACAATCACCACTCAAATTGAAAAAATCAAATAAAATATTAAAACTCATCATAAAATCCTAGGTAAATTTCTAAGGGAACCTAACCCTATACCCAATACCCCATATAAACCCCAAGGCCTAAATCAAACCCTAGGTCCCCAAACTATGCCCTAAACTACACCTAAGTGTTGTGAAACCATAATTCTAATACCTCTCTTATCCACCTCTCAAACTAACCTAAATTTTAGTCAC